CTTGGGACCGCTATTCTTAGAAGATCGGTCCTTCTCTCTCTCTCTCTTTTGCTCTCTTCACTTCGTTGCTTCCTTATCTCGTCTCATCCTCTCTCACTCTCTCCTTTCCTACCCTTTTTTCCCCTCTCTGTTTCTCTTCTTCTTCGGCACACTGCTCGATTCTGACTCTTTCGTCTCGTATACGGCCCCTACAGCGATTCCTAATTACCTGCGCTCGCATACGTCCGTCTTTGTTTCACCCTTTTACCCGTGCCGTTTGGGTCCGTAGCGGCTGGCCATGCATAATGCATTTAAAGATCGCGTGATAGCGGCCGATTATGCGGTCGCGCGGGCCTCCTTTTCCGCGAAAGGAGTCGCGAATTGGGCCTCGCAGACCGTGACTCGACAGGCAACAGGGGCGTGGCTCGTGCGAAAGAAAGAAACGTGGCGGCCAGATAACACCGCATGAATGAAAATATTTTTTTTCTTTTCTTGTGACCGAACGACACAGTGTTTCTAGTCGACGCAGCTGCGGATTAGTCGCGCTGTTGGAACATCGAACGAATTTTTGTTGTTACCACTTACTAGGGTCTTTGGAAAGTTAACTCTTTCGCTTGGAAGTTTGTGAATGTTTAGGGTTTGGCGTTGAGTCGTAAATGCTGTGCAGAGTTGGAAGGAGGATTTGATTGGGTTGTATCCTGATAAGTCTACTTTCTGTAACACAGTTGTAGAAATAGGTCACATGTGTTGTAATTATTGAATGTTCAGATAACATCGACGAAGTGGATCGTAGAAAATTGACCCTATGCCGTATCACTGGACTTCTTTCTAACTTTGCAGAACCAATTAAATATTGGATTAACCTCGTTTAACTTAAACCTGCAGCCTTGTAATTTCACGTTCAAAGTTATTTTTCTCAAAAATTAGGCAAGCAATCACAAAACTTCATCCTTCGTCTTTATTTTCCTTTTTTTCTTCAATATTTATTGGGTATTCTTGAATAATTCTTCAGTCCCGTCTACTTTAATTCGCAAATTTCATTTCACTTTCCGTTCAAATTATCGAAAAGTGAACGTGAGAAACGGTCGACGAGCGGAAAGAGGGGCGCAAAAAGAACGCGTAAAAATGCAAAACCGCGAACTTCGTTGGATTTTTATGAAACTCGAGCTGTCCGTACAATCGAGCTAATTTCCATACTCGCGGCTTCGCGTAATTCGCGAATCCGCTCGTTTCTTCGTTCGAGGATTTATCAGGTTCGATCGACTTAGGTTTTCCACCTCTACGAGCATTGTCGAACCACCGTGGAATTTACGCGTTAGATATACATCGCGTTACGGACCGTGCAGATTCCTTCGAATTTTTGCGAACTTTTCGCCCAGCGAAATAACGGAACGTCTACGTCGATCGAGGAACAGGAAGAGCCGAGGCGAATTAATGCGTGAATATCTTGAACGTTCCTGACAAATGTCCCGCGATTTGCATATTTAGAAACGGGTATTCCTGTCTCATGGAAATTTCAAGGGGAATATCTGTCGAAAAACCGAAGACTTTCTTTAGATTCGACTTCATCTCGAAACGATAAGTCCCGATACTGTGTTGTGAACATGTGTGCGTGTGCGTATGTTACGTGGGAAGAAGTAAGGATCGTGTTCGTGGCTCGTTTAGAATTAGAAAGCGATTCCTGTGTAATTTGACGAGCATCGTTTGGGAAGGACGGAATATTCATGTTGCAAACGATGTCTGCAATCTCGGGTCGCTATTAAGTAATATCTTCCGCTAAACTGGTGGTCTGCCTTCGGAAATTTCCGTCAAGTTTGTGGCTATTGATGTCGATCTTGAGGAAAATTCGAACTTCGCGGTGAATAGAACGAAACCCGAAACATCTCCCAAGCACGGAATAATAACAAGAATTTAAAAAAGCAAACAAACAAACAAACAACGTGACTGAAATAAGAGGGGCAAAGTAGAAAATGTAAACAGAGAAGTTAATTTCCAACGGAAACATTGCCAAAACTTGACTATGATCGCGAAGCTAGGATTTCTTGAAAATCATTTTTCTTCGCATTTCATTGACTGTTTGATCCCTTACCTCGCAACGAGCCAAACTCGCGGCACAATATTTTCATATCAGTAAACGAAATTAATTTCAATTCTAAGTTTCGTTTCAATTCGTAAAATTCAGAATTAGCAAATTTAATTAATCTAAATATACATTAACTGTTCCCATCTAAGACAGTATTAAAATAGTAAACAGCTTAAGTGCATAGTCAGCAAAAAAGTCAAGTTCAAGGGTTAATCAAGTTGAGGAATTGCAAAATGTGAGCAAATCATATTATTTGAGTTTGTTGAAGGAGGTATTTCGTTATTTACATTTCTTTATAATAATTATTTTCCATACCTATTCTAGCGTCTCGAATTAAACCGTGAAACTGCAATTAACCGTAATTACTTCTCTGGCGAACGAAGAAAAATCGGGTTACAGAGGGTTAAAATATTCCCATGCCAATTATAAGCGTGATTACACCAGCACCAAAGTTCCTGCCTACACCTCTCGCTATTGTTGAACAACGAGTGACCCTGTAGCACTTACGAAGAGCATAATAGGATAGTCGAACGTGTCGCCGACGAAATAATTCATCCATTGACACCGAAACGAGGCAATTATCAACATTCAAGCTGCCCGATCGAGCGTGCATTCGGAAGTGTGCAATCACTGTACCATGAGAGGAACGTCGCGTAAAATTTGCATCGACAGTTTTCTTTCCCTTGTTCCAACGTCAGCCGCGTCGTATTCCTTCGAATTCCTCGGCGATAATGTATTTTCCGATTTTTCACCAGGCGAAACGTCAAGCAACGGTCCACTTTCCTTCGTCTATCCTTTTTTTCTCTCTCTTTTACGCAAGCTTGTACCTGGTTCTCCCTTTCCTTCCCCCCTTCGCTTCGTCGCTTTTTCCTCTGAATTTCCAGCAGGCTGGAAAATCTCCGCGCGACCGCCGCCGAGCTCCGGGAAATTGAATTTAGTGCGCCGCTGGGTGAAATGGAATTCAATTATTAGTAATACAGTCGAGCCCTGTTTGAAAAAGAATGATAGAGGCCCGGTGAAACAGTGAGAAAATGGTGGAGGCGGCGGTGGTGTTGGTTCGTGGGGGGGATAATAGCGGAGAGAGGCGGGAACGGTGAATGCGCGTCGACGAAAATTCGTCGTGTAAAATTAATCGCGGACTTAATTACCGGTTTTCCTCTAATTAAGCCCGATAAATGATCCCGGCGGAGAGGCACGGTCCAGAGAGTTATTGCGTGCCGATGCGGAATCGGCCATTCGGATTTCCTTGGAATATTTAAAGCTGCTTAAGGAGCTATATACGCCCGGAAGTGGTTGCAAAAAACGGTGTTTTGAAAATCATTGCGTCTCTCAAAATTTTCACATTGAAATGATTAAAAATATCGATATTGTATTGTTTACAGAAATAAATGCTGGAATTATTTAATCTTTGTAACTCGGTTCCTTTTCTGACATATCAATATTTTTTAAATTGATTACATTTCCTGATTTGCTGTAAAAATCAGTTAATTTTCTTCTTTTTTTTTTGCATCTCTTGAAATTGTCACGTTAAAATTCTTAAAAGTAACGAAGTTATAGAATTTGTGGAAAAACGCTTAAATTGTTTAATCTTTGTAACTCGGTTGCTTCTCTGACAAATGAATATTCTTGAAATTGATTACAGTGATTTCTCGATCTACCGTAAAAATCAGTTAATTCTCTTTCCTCTGGATCTCTCGAAATTGACACGTTAAAATTCTTAAAAATAACGAATAACGAATATCCTTTAAATTGATTACAACGACTAGATTTCTTGCTGTGAGAATCGTGTGATTTTCTTAACGTGAATCAGCTTCGCTGCTTCTCCTCTTGTTTCGAATTTGTGGAAATTCGAGTAGAATGATTTTCGAACGAACGTGTAACGAGTGTACAGGAGAAAGAGAGGCGTGCTCAGGAGCCCAGCGAATGATCTAATCGGACGTGAAGAGAAGTTGATAATTAACGAGTCCCTACGGCGCGTCGACAATGCTTAACGTTGGAAACAAAAGAGCTGCCAGTGTACCTAGCTGTTCCTGATCTTCCTACAATAAACGAACTTCCGGGTGGCTTGTTCGCTTTTGCGCGTGCCTCGACCACTTTGGAGGCACCGTTAGAGTGTAAGCAGCTGGTGGTCAATTTTCTCGTTGAATTCCGTAAACGAGAGAAAAAGTGGAGACCTCTGCGAGGAGAGACATTTTCATTTCCGAAAAAATGACGGAAATAAAGAATTGTGAAAAATCAAATTATAAAAATAATTTTGATTAATGTAACTTACTATCGGGCTACTTTCATTTGATTATTATTAAAACAAGGTTTCTCGGAATAGCTGGGGTTAATTAGTCACGTTTGGACATAGTAACCCTGCAGAAATTCCAGCTTATTATTCCGCCACTTTACATAGCACGAGGCAGATCTCTAGTCTCCTGAAATCGCTTCTTCTTTTAGTTAAATAATAAAAATTAATTTATAATGAAAGTAAAGATATTTGTTCCCTAAATAAGTTGTTCCTTTTCTTAAAAAGTATCTCGTTTAGGTAGACTCCTTTGTAGCTAAATCTCTCGGGTCAAAAGTGACCCAACGCAAGTACGTATTTACTCGCGACTGAATAGCGTGAGAATTTAAGAGTTAATTAAAAAAAGCACTATTTTTACAAATATAAGGATGCAGGAGTATTTTCTTCCAATCTATAAAACAAAAAATGCAAGAAAATTCGCATATACCTGTTCATACATCTCCAAACCGACTCCCCTTATTTACAACTTAATCCTCCAATAGTATCATTGCTAAAACGACGAAAAAAGAGAAAATGACAAGCATTCTCTAGAAAAGAGGTCCGACTGGCCGACTCCTACCCTTCATCCAACCCGGAGAGCCAACAATACTCTCTGGGTACGTGCTGTATTATTATAATAAATGGTTGCGTGTTACTTGTCTGTTGCAGAAAAATTGCTGAACAGCGAGGGCCGCGAGCTGCGACGAGCTCTCTTCTCCCTCAAGCAGATCTTTCAGGTGAGTTTACAATTCGCGATACCTGCGGGAACCTGCGTTGTAAAGCGAGAGGCGAATAGAGAACGGGGGCGTGCACGTTAAAGCGAGAGAACGATAGGAAGGGCATCGACGAGCAAACGTAAGGATGAGGGAAGAAAGAGAGAGAGAGAGAGAGAGTGAGAGATATTCTAGACAAGAAGGGAGAAAACTTATGGGGAAAAGAAGATGGAACTAGAGGGAGGAAGAGGTAGACAGGGGCTATTTTTACGCGAAGCTACTCGCTCGACGAGTAAATATTTGCATGGCGGTTCGAGCGAGTGCATTTTCTTCTTCCTTCTCTCTTTCTCTTCACTATGGATCCTTCCTTTACTCTCTCTCTCTCTCTCTCCTTTCCATCTCGATAACCGTGGCCCTTTGTCTCGCAAATTCGTTATTCCCCGCCGCACGCTGCATTCCAATACGTTTGCTCCACACCAGGACCGAATATTCGCGCGTGTAACGTCACTCTGATCCGGAAAGGGGCACGAACTACCGTTTTGCGACCAGAAAGAGCGAAAACTGTTTCTTCTTTTTTTTTTTATTTTGTTTTTTCCGGGTGCAAAATATTTTCACCTCGTTCGCCAACCAATTCGTTACTTCGTTTCCAGCGAAGGGAAATTCTGTTGGCGATTTTGTAATCGATGCCTGTCGGTGAACGTGCCATTTGGGTCGTTTAATTAGAGGAAGCATTGTATCGACGATTTATGGATCGTAACTGAGAGTAAAAACGAAGATGTGCAACAAATTCTTGTTTCTTTATTCGAATATCTCGACTTGTGAAAAATTGCAATCAGCGGAATTAACGTCGAGTCGATCGCGAAATAAGAAGAACCGGCCTTGTTACACTTTCTCGAACTCCGGTTTATCGTGAATTCGCCGGTTCCACGAGCGTGGAATGTTTCAACTTTCATGGGCGGTGTTCCTCCCTCACTTCCGGAACAAGAAGGGCAAACTGGACGCTGGCGGAGCGTGTTTATTCGAGAGGGGCTTTCTTAACTCTGTTCACCGTAATTAAATCTTGCAATTAGCCGAGCGGGAACGGAATTTTTCTCCGCGGCTGCAGCTCGAAAGGCCGTTCGTTAGAAAAGAAATCCTATTACACCGGAAGCTATCGTTCCGCCCTCGTAAATGATGGATGAGTTTATTGTTGAGTTATATTAGCGTCCCGTGATGAATGGAGCGGATGTCAAGAGCGAACTTGCCAACGATACGATACCGTGTCATTAGAACCTATTGTGATTGTTTTATCGATCGATGTGGTTTCATATTTAGACAGATTTCCTTCCTTTTTTTCTCTTCTTTTCGTCGACACACAGTATTACGCGATGTGTGCTAATGGCATTAAATTGATATATTAGCAGTCTCTAGTTCACGCGTCGGGATAACATTAAATTTCATTGATACCGATTTCTACGAAACGCAATAATGGTAACAGTAGCCAACATTATTACGTATCCATTAGATTCTGAATTTAACGCATGAATTATGACGAAGATTATAACGTTGACGTTGAATTGCAAATATATTAATGATCGCGGGCAAATCGCATCGCTTCTATGATTGACAACTACACGATAACTTGAACCGACAGCCTGTTTCATTACACGTTTATTATACTTGTGAAAACGAGTTATAACACCTGGTGTAGAATAGCACGATCCAAACAGCAAACCTAGTTTATTCCGAAAGAACACTGAAAATATCGGTAAATCAGTGTAAAAAAAGTAACCATTCTAAAATTTCTCCCAAAACTATCCAATCCTCTTATTCGAAAAACACTTTCTAAAGACGGGAAGAGAAGATCGTCGCGTTAACTACAACCAGAAGTGAAATAGGACAAGCTAACCCATTTCCGTGTACTTTCTATCTTTTGAAAAGTTGTTGAAAAAGAAACTAGAGCAGACACGGTACATCAAAGAAATGGTGCTTCGTACTTGGAAACAGACCTAACCCAAACAAGAGATCTCGACGTTCAAACACGGTTTTACGAACGGCCTTTCTTAAAGAGCGAACGTTTAATTAGACAATAGGATTACACATCGCGAGGATAAATCAGCGGGACGTGTAGACGCGTTAGAGAGAGAGAGAGAGGGAGAGCGTCTAAAAACAATCCTCGAACTCTTCCTTCCAGCGAGATACCTTATCGTTTCAATTATCGGGCTGACTAGCTGCGAAATTAATTACGACGCTCCGTCCTCGTTCGTCGAGGCGCAGGCACCTCCCCTCCTTCGTTCCAGCTAGAGATCTCCGCTTCGTCCGGCGGATTTATCCGCTCGAATCGCCACGGTAACGTTCAATTTCGTTTCTTAATCCTGGCTAATCGGCTGCAACTTCCGACGAACCGGAGGAATAGAGGAGGCCTGAACCGTGGCCACGGGGAAACCAGGCCTCGACAAGATCGCGAAACGGTTCCGGTTACAAGGGAGAATGCACGCTGGCGAGTTTAATCAAACTTCGTAGATTTTCCATTATGTCCGCGACTTACCGCCCGAGGCGGCATAACTAATTCCATTTACCTCCTCCTAGCCGCGGCCGGCTTAGGTGGAAACGAGTGGATAAATCGCGAGAGACCTCGGAGATCGGGTATCAGGTGCCCTCTTCGATCCGTTCGGCTTGCCTTCCTTCGTTTCCGGTTTGGGGGATGGAGAACCGGTGATCTCAGAAATTGGCGGTTGTTTCTGGGTTTTTTGATAGGTTGTGGAGGTGCGTTTGCCAAGTATGGCGATACGATCATTTGTTTTATAGGAAAGAATTGAAAGTGTTGGAAATTAACGTGTTTCTGGCATTTTCACCAATTTTTGGCTCAGTTCATGTTCGCGTTCTTCGGTTTTGGTTTATTCGTTTATGAATTGATTTTGAATATAATAATATTGAATGACGATATATTTCGCTCTTGGCTGAAATGTTCCATATACAAATTATTCATTTTTCAGGGTGTTTTGAAATATTTTTCACATTTTAAAGAGAGAATCCACTTTGATAACCCGAAAAATAAGCGATCTTTAACAATTTCTTTTGGCTAAACTAGTAAAGATATCGTAATACTTCTTTTTTCAACGGAAAGAGACATCTTTAGACTATATTAAAAGAATTTTGTTCCATATAATTTTCAATATTACTATCCTAAATTTTATATTTGTTTCGCCTCAATTTTCTAGGACGTTCCGAAATGTTAGCCAAGACAATCGAACTGAAGAAGGCAGTATTTCAATCATCTGTACAAATAAAAAAAAGAAACTTAGAAAAATCTTCTTTTACGACTTGAACATTTCACTTCGTCCACAGAATAATAAGATCATGGAGATTTTTATCCAAAATATTCATCGCCAAATACGGCGCTTATCGCAATTGAGCCGAGTAACATTGTAGCATTTGAAATTTTCGATAGGAGGAGATGGGTGATAAATTTGGAAGCGTTTGAACACACATCGATTAAGAGTCCTGTCTTTCCGTTCGAATAAATTAGACATAAGCGGTGGATCGCGCGTGTATACACGGATATCTATTCCCCTCGGTCGAATGGTGTGTTTACCATAAACTTTGGTTTTGCAGGAGGACAAGGACCTGGTGCACGAGTTTGTGCAAAATGACGGGCTTGCCTGCCTCATCAAGGTTGGCAGCGAGGCCGACCAGAATTACCAAAATTACATACTACGAGGTGAGTATACTGACAATTTGTCGATAGACCGGCAACGTGTTTTCGTTGCACAGGGTTGCTTAGGCTTCTAATAACGTGCAGAGGTTGTACGCGGTGTATCATCGAGCCTCTATACTTTTCGCGGGGTCTCGAGCTGAGACTGCGAGCATTAATATTTACGAGGTATAAAAGGAAGGAGGTTTCTTACAAATTGTTCCAAGCACACCCGACTTTTACCTTAGAGCAACCTAAAGCTATATTGTGACGAAGTTAGAGGTACCGAGGAAGTTCTCTTTGCTGTTTCACCGTATATCCTATGTATCACGAAACGAAGACAAACAATTCAATATTCGTATAATCAGGAAACTCGGAACTTCCGAAACGTCGGATAATTTTCGGATAAGATAAAGCAATGAAGTTGTAAAGGAAAGATAGTTAACCCTAATTTTTCTTCCCGCGCAGGAAGACAAATTGGGTTATAGAGAGTTTGTATGATCGTTACGTTTATGTACCGGGTGATCATCGTAACGTGATCTATTATTTTCGTTCTTAGCAGATCTACCAAACATTTTTTTTTATAGATATGGTTTTGAAAAATTTTCAAAATTATCACATTATATTCTTCTGTCTTTGTTCGAATAGATTTTCAAGGATACCTTCGACCTTTTTCCGGTATAAATATTTAAAAAGAGATTTATATTTAGGAGAAACAGAGTTTCTGGATTTTTGTTTGCACGAGGTTTCTTCGTTTTTAATTCGATCGTTGTCAAAATTCGGTGTCACCCGGTGTACTCTGTTCCACTACGAAACCTCACTAGTATCACATCCGTTTTATCAGAGCGCTCCTCGGGAGCGCGACTGAGCGTCATCCATAATAGCAAGTGTACTCTGGGGTGCGGACGCGCTCCGAGATTTCTCGCTAAAGACGAAGGCGTCGTACGTCTGCGACGCTATCGTAAACAGCGATAAGATAATACCCGGGTAATGCAGCTAACACCTAACGAGCGACGCATCAACGGCTCCGCGAAACTGAGCCTCAGACGAACGACGAGGTCGTATCTCTCTTAGTTTCCTCTTTTTCACCTTCAGACATCTTTTTTAAAAAACCTATTTTTCAGAGATACGTCAGATTCTTAAAATGGATTGGGCCAAGGTCCCGCAAAAAATTAGGTGTACAAATTAATTCTTCTTCACAGTTTTAGTGATCAAAATAATTTCAATATTTTGGATCACTCTTTTTAGCTACATTTATCGCGAAATAGTATTAGACGAGGCTAGAAAGAATTTTCTAGGAGAAAGAATAAATGGATTACCACCTGTTCCGTTCGCATCAGCTTCATCTGGCTGATACTTATTCCAAGACAGTGAAATCAGCTCTTTTCGAAGGGAGAATTCGTCAGTTACCTGTTAATTGGAAAAATGTGATCAAAAATGGTGGTTAGCACTTTACCGATCGGAGGCCTATTAATCGGCTTTTCGTTGCCAACGCATACCGCTCTTTAATGTTTCTATTTTTAATTTCCCTATAATAAGAGAAAGCGAACGGTGTAGCACTCTCGCGAATTTTAATATAAAATTTGTACAGCTGTAAAAATAAGCGCTTATATTCCCGCACGATAGTAAAGACGCAGTCCGAAAAGAGTTCAACAAGGCGCGGTCGGTAGTGTTAAAATTGTCTTCGGTTTTTTGCAAATTGAAGTTTGTGACAAAAGGCAGGTAATATCTCACGACAAAAATCTTGAATACTCCAAACACTATGAAAATCTTTTCACGATTGAACATAGTGTCCAAAATTTCCAACATCTTGAACCAATCTGATTACTGACAATCGAACCAAATCATCCAGTTGCGATACATTTCTCCAATTTTCCGGCGATACGCGCAATTCCCGGCCGCTCAACGGAACACAGTCGTCTAGTCGCCGAGCTGCGCCGTTAACGCAGCCTGTTCAGAAAAGCGTTTCGCTCGCGAGTCAGCCTGCGAAACCGCGATGCGTAGCAGATTATGAATGCACCCTTTGATCGCGTTTCGAGTGGTTCGCCGCGGCGCAGGCTGGCTCGAGTGCTTCGTAAACCTCCGCGTCAGTCGAACAACGCCGCGAGAAGACCAATTCCGCGTCGACCTGGCCTGGCCTGGCTGGCGCGGCCCACTTGTACCCTGCTTGCTCTTTTCGACGGCTCCGATAACGAACCAGAGTCGACTCTCGTCTTCGATCTCTCCGCGTGAGGAGACTTCGAGTGCATTGTATACCGAACGAGTCCTCCGGGAGTCCTCGAGAGACCTTCGTGCAGAAGCTGAAACTTCCTCGCTGTACTCCGGGGGAGGTAAACTGCTCACGCGGGAGGGATGATTCTTTTCGGTCGCTGTACTTCCTCTCGATGTTTCTTCTTTAGAGGGGGGAAGATTGTAGTTTGACGTGACGATGAAATCGATCTTCGGAGGGGAAACGGGAGATGGAATAGGAATTTGAACGGATTTGGGGATAGGAACAGGAGTCTATTGTTAGGTTCGTGGCGCGTTTCCACGGTTGGCTTCTGCTGTCGGGGAAAGAGAACGCGAAACGATAAATTTGGTAGAGATGTTTAGATATAGGTTTGGAATGGTGGCTAGGTTTTTTTAAACGGTGCAACTGAGGGTAACGTGAGTTTAGTTTGGTGAGATGAAGACTTGGTTTTTGAGGATTTTTAGGTATCGAAGTGTCACGGTTGGCACTTTCGTCAGCGCTGATAATTCGTCGCGCTTAGACTTTGTTAAGAATGTGATACTGGAGAGAAATGACTTGGGGAAGTTAGGGATTTGACCTGTGTTATTACCGATTTCTTTGACAGGGGATGGAAATACTTGCTGAAATTTTGAAAGAGATCGAAGATAATTTTGAGGGTAATTTCGTAGGTTTGTGAATAGACAACTTTACTCAGAAGTAATGACACCTGAAACGACACCAATTACAATTGAAGACTGGGCGTAAAAATGACTGCAAGTGTCAATAATCAAAATTTCAGGAAAACCATTTCTCAGTTACTAAAATGATACTTATCGACAAAATATGTCAAAGCTTACTTTATCTAATCTCGCAATATTTTTAATATTTATTTTATTTTGATATTTCACTCTCTCATTAATAAACAAAAAGAAAGTTCTACATTACGAGAAAACGTAAAAATCCACCAATGGTACTTACACAGCCTTTTTCACATCGATTCTTCAATTATTTTTCTCACTTCTCCAGTTCCTCGTTAATTCACTTCATTCTTACGAGTTTATCGATACAAATTTCTCCTATTACTCCCCTCGTTTATTCAGCTCCCACTTCAAACTCGACTTCCTCTCCCTACAACAAATTACATTACGCTCACAGAGATCCTTTTATCGCCTCCTCCATGTAGAAGAGAAGCACAGCGAGCAAGATAGAAAGGGTGGCTTAGCAGTTGTCCAACGAAGTCAATTAAGATTAAGGGAATATTGAGCAACCGAAGAGTCGCGATAAGCGGGCAAGAGCGGCAGATAACGTAATTCATAAAACAATTTGGCAGTTCAGGTTTATCGAGCGCGTAAATCAGCCCGCGTCTCGGCGTGTGTCGCGTGGACCACTCGGGAGGGCAATGTTAACTGTCTAATTTAGGGGGAGCTTGTTCCTTATCTCACGGTAAACAGGAAATTTATTACGAACAGCCTCGAACGAGCATTCAACCTTCTAATCCACGGTACCCGCGGAATAACCGTCGACGTTTCAGCGTGTCGGCCTTGGTTGATTGCAGCGACGTCTCTCGCCACGCTATTGGCTCATTAAAGTGCCGACGCTCCGACAGTTTCGGGTTTGCCAGGAACGTTCCAATGGTAACTTTGATAAGACGTTCGCCTAACTCGACCGAAACGGATCGTAACCTTTGCTACATGGAACGGAGTTTCATCTCGGCTAATTGTGCGACTGTGGATCAACTATTCGGAGAATTTTCACTCCAGTTTGCCGTGAAATTCGCTTTTTTTTTTTTTAAATAGGTCACTCGAGAAGTGGACATTTTCCAGCTTGATTTTACTCTTACTTTCGAAGTTACTTTTCACGTGACAGGTGTAATTACTTCGACTAATAAATGTGTCGTTAAGAACGCTGAGTGATTGTATCATTACGTTACAGCTGAGACCCTGTCACGTCAGCGTATTACCGTTAATTATGGTTATTCTGAACGTAGAAGCTGATTATTGCGAGAGTTCACTCGCGGAGAGCGGGATTGTCGCACGCATGGCGAATGCTGGGTCAAATGTGACCCAATACTAAAATCTTTTCTTATGCAAACGAAACCATATTTTGTATTTTGCTAGACATTGTACAGATATATCGCGATTAAAATAGCAAATAAAATTTGTAGAAACCGACGGAAAAATTTTTAGGGACCCAACGGGGAATCGAACCCGGGACCTTCGGCTTAGCAAGCCGAAGCTCTGCGCGGATTCTCATTGTCGGATTCCTATTTGGGTCCTATACTACATATTTATAATATAAGAAGAGGAAAGTCGACATTTAAAGGTCGGGTCATTGGTGACCCAGCTTCCGTCATCCAAAGTATAATCCTATTTTCGATGTCCTTACACAAACCGAAGCTTCGACATTTATTCATTTACCCGCAATGGAATAACTTCGAATACCTCAGAAAAGTTGAACAACGTGTACACAGAAAATCTTCTGCATAACTTCGCTTGGAAAAATGGCGAATGGAAGAAATATTACACATCATTTTTCACAATGAAAAACGAAGAACCGTGAACGGTAGAACCACATCGGTAGCCACTTTCAGTAACGCAATAGAAAAGTACGATTGTGACAGGCCAGGCCTTGGGGTTTCGAAAGATTCCCGAGTTTCTTCTCGGAGTTTCCTTTTTACAAGTATTCAACGATACACCATTCAGTCATTTATTTATTCGCCCACTTTCAAAGAAGTTTACGGTCGAAGGTCGTGATGCTTTCAGCCAACGTCAACTTTTGTCACCGATGCTTTTAGTAGCGCGACCGCAAACAACGCTCT